CTCAAACATGTCCACAATAGCCATGTCCCTAGCTTCCAAAATGTAGTTGTTGAAAGATTCTGATAGATTGTTAACAATCACATCACACACTGCATTGGGAGAAAAGAAACATCTGGCCCAGTGTTCTTCAGGAACAGCCTTCAGCCATTCAAATGGAGTAACCTGAGAAACACAATATTGTAAACCAATAGAAGAACAGACACAATATTCACCTGACAACAATATTCAAAACAATATCAAGGTTCACAACCACAACCATAGGCACAATATTAAGCCTTCAAGATCAGGCACATGACAACAATATTCAGAACAATATTAAGTGTTTACAGCAATATTCAAAAACCATTGGCAATATTCAGAACAATACTCAGAAACAGCCACAGCCATAGAAACAATATTCAGAGATACTCAGAAACAGCCACAACCATATTCAGAAGGTTGGCACAATTTCAGAACAATATTCAAAATGCAACAAGTCAGTGTTTGTTTGTTTATCAGAAATCACAATTTTAATAATCACAAATTTAGCAACATAAAAATCAGAACATTAGGCACAGACACAGCAAAATACTGAACAACAATCAGTGTTTATAAAAATCACAATATCAAAATATAGAGAAGTACCTTGCCATCCTTCTTCTTAGGAAAAAGCTTTTGAATTTGACTCATGCACCTCAGATGTTCTTTCACATTGTATGTGCTAGCTGCCTTCCAAAACCATTTCCTCAACTCTAGATCCCCCCACTTCTGCTTAAAGTTATTGTACATGTGCTTCAAGCAATATCTATGCTCTGCCCCCTCAATCTCACTCACTGCTTCAAGCAAACCCTTTTGTCTATCTGAGACAAAGGTCCATTTCTTCTCCTTGTAAGGGTCTACATCTCTCATTAGCCTTTCCAGGAACCACCTCCAAGAATCTGTCTTCTCAACCTCCACATATGCCATTGCAATTGGTAGCATATTGTCATTTCCATCCCTACCAATTGCTGAAAGAAGTTGACCACCATGAAGAGTCCTCAGAAAGCATCCATCCAGTCCAATAATTGTCCTGCAGCCAGATAAGAATGCTTGTCTCATTGCAGGCAAACAGACATACATCCTCATGAACTTTAGAGGTGAAAAATCTTTGTTCACCTTGATGATAAGAGAGCTACAGGATTGTACTTGGCTACTGTGGAGCAGTAGTCATACAACCTTTTATACTGCTCCCCATGGTCAACCTTCAAAAGTGAAAGAGCATACACTTTGGCCTTGTATGTCTTGTGCATACTAACCTCAACCCTACAATGTCTCTTAATCTTGTTTTTCAGACTTGTCAAAGTCTCACCAGGATTGTCCTTCAAAGTATCCACCATCCTTCTTCCAAGATACTTGTAGACTGCTTGAGTGTTCTCTGTCCTGTAAGCACAAGTGAGTTTGCCTTTCAATGTCTTGATCTGAAATGTTGACAAACCTCCAATAATAGAGGCCCTCAAGGACCAGTCACACCCACTTTTACAGATTGTTGTGATTAGCTTTGCTTCATTCTTTGGGAACTTCAAATCATAGCCCTTTCTAACTGACCAATCTCTGATCACCTCCTTGAATGTTGCTCTGCATGGAAATTTTTGACCAACCTTCAGCTCAAACCTTGACATATCAGCACCCTCTTTCCATTCATCAGGCTCTTCAAGGCAATTATCATCATCCTCAGGTGGACTGTACCAACCTGCACATAAGAAACATGAATTCAGG